ATCTCCACTTTTCTAGAAAGTTAGAAACTATTGTTGTTATTGACCCAAAAAAAAAAACTAATTAAAAATCCAAGCTAAAAAAAAATACGTTGAATATTTTTCGAAATACACATAAATCTTCTATTTTTTTTAAATATATATATATATGTAGTTTGTTACATAAATCTCTAAAAACACTAAAAATAAAAATGTTTCTGAAGTATTTTTTAAAACCAAAATAACTCAAATTATAAACATCCGGATATTTGTTATGATCTTGATAAATCCTGATGTTTATATTTAGTTATAACTTTAAACAGGTATTAAATTAATGCTTTTGGATATAAATTGGGACTAATTCATATTTTTATTATCTATAAAGCATCTTTTAATCCTTAAACTTAAAAGAGTCGGCAATCAAAAAAAAAAAAACCTTAAAATAGTTTGATTAGAGAGAAAAAAAAAAAAAAAGAGGATCCTTAAGAAAAGTGTAGAAGCAAAAAGCTTAAGACAATTGTGTGATTCTTTTCTTGACATCTAAATTCCTTTTTTTCTTTTCTTCCTCATGATGATTTCAATTTTATGAAAGAATCATGAAATTCACTAGTAATATAATACTACTTTACAATTACAAGATATTTTGCTTAACATAGACTAAAAAGAATCAAATAAACAAAGAATCATATTGTTGCAATGAGTAGTATTAAGGGAGAGCTTTAAAGACTCAATCCGGAAACTGAAAGACTAGAAATTTTGCAAGAGAAGCGATTGTCTTACCATCTAAAGATCTCTTTCTGCGAGTCTTGCTTCTGAAAATAGATGATGATAGTGAAGAAGAGAGATGACTCTTTCCTTGCATTGTGATGTTGTTTGCAGCCACTGTTAGTTTCTTGCTTACCGTTTCGCTTTTACTCACCGAATCTCCAGGTTTCCTCTCTGGCGTTTTCGGTACGCAGCCGTTGAAACATTCAGAGTCAGCTCTTGGAACTGACAATGGAGATCTTATTATGGCTTCAGGTGCAGATGTGGAAGGACCAAGAAACTCTCTCTTGTCAAGAGATGCAAGGTTTCTTGAATCATGTTTTGGCATCATCGGTTTGGTCCGAGATTTCTTTTTCTTCTTGCTTTCACCAGAGCAATGTCTAATTTGGGATTTAACAATGCTGCTGGATACGGTTGGCTCTTGTGATCCGTTAACAAGTCTAGCTTCTGCGTGGATAAACCAGGGCCTTTGGTTATCCCGGAAGACGTACTTTATAGGCATAGATTCCGCAATGTAATAAAACTGAGACTTTCGTTTAACCTATACTAGGAGAGGAGCAAAAAAGTTAAGCATCTGTTGCAGCAATGGATTGAGGTAACAAAATCAAAATCATGGGTGTGAAAAAGCCATTTCCATTACCATTAGACCATGAACTCGTATCTCCTCTAAGCTCGGTAAGCAACTCGCGTGTGTTTTCTCAAGTTTTCCTGCAGGAAAACACATTTACTCATTTAGCAATAGCAATGCATGTGCAATCTCATATCAAAATTGTCCTGAAGAATTAACAATGATACACATTCACAAGAACTGATTAGGTCCTCAAGTGTGTGTAACAACAACAGACAGAACATCAATGAAATCAAACACTAATGATGCATAAGACAGTTAGAGAGGAACACTTGTGTTCAGTGTTCACCATAATCTGTGAATTCAAGCAAAGTTTTCATCTTTACCTTCATCTAAAAGTGGGTATGGTCCAAAACCATCAAAGGACGACGATTCAGAAAAAAACTCAATTAAAGAATCCTATCTATCAGTAAACCTAAAAAAGGCTAAAACCAGAGTTAATTGAGAAAACAGAGAAAAGACCAAAACTTTGGTTACAGATTTCAAGAGTAAGCTACAAAAATCGAAGGAGAAGTTTCAACAGAAATCCGTAGAAGAAGCTTACCCTTGAAATCTCTTGATGTGATATTGATATGAACAGTCATGGCGATTCGGGTTCCCAAGTTAGTATCAACAAAGACAGTCACTTCATCTTCCGCAAAATCCATTTGTGCCCGTGTGAGTGAGAGCAGAGAGAAACGGAGGCTGGAGAAGAAGTTTTTTTGTATGTTAATAGAACCGATTCGAGGCTAAATTAATTAATTAAATTACTATTAATGCATTGTGATTTTTGCATATTTGAAGAATACTATAGAACCTCAATTTTTTTGGTAAATGCATTTTTAGTTAAAATCTTGTTTGATTAAAGATTTCAAACCATAATTTTAAACAGAATAGAATTTCAATAATTTGCTTAAGTACAGAGATGATGAGATCAACCATCATCTAGTTAATATATTTAGAATATCATAATACACTTTGAGCTCTAACAATAAAAGGTTTCAAATTAGGCACTAAATGATTGATAGTGTTATAATCTCAAACATGATCTTCAAATACATTTTGCAACTGTACATTTGTGACGCATTGTCCTCCATAACCGGTCAATGGATTTAGCTAAAACCTAATGATTCCGCAAAATGGGAATGTCGTCAAGCTCACTTAACTAGCTAGCTGCAGTGCAGGGCAGGACTCGGCCGATAAGCCGTGAGCTCCTGTTGTTCTGTGCCTCTCCCCGACCCTACAAGACAAGACAATCGATCGATCATGACAAATTGTGAAACGCCAAAGGTTCAGACAGAGATATTCGAAACCTTAATCCGGTCTAAAGGTAGATCATTTAGAGATGGACAAAAGACCGAAGCAAGCCAAACCAAATGCCAAGTCATAGTAGATGTTTACCTTGCCTAGGGGAGTCCTCCAACACAGGACATCAGCGTCGTCTTCTGGCCTGTAAAAAGTCAAGAGGTAGAGTGTAGTTTAACAGCTACCCGAATCTTAAAAGCAACTTAAAGATTGAATATAAATATTCGTGTATCATCTTTTACCCTTTGTCCCCGGAAGGCAAGTGTGGAGTACACATAGCAGATTTTGCCTCGCCTTGATCGCTGGCACTGCTCATTCGGGAAGATGCATTGCCTGAAGAACGCACACTTTGAGCCCTCAAGACATTTCCTTGGCAACTTCTCAGAGAATTTGTAATTGCGTGCTTTTCAGATACGCAATCAGAGTCACTTCTAGGAGTACTCAGATACGACTTTTGTAGCATTCTGCGAGAACAACTGAATATTCCAAAGAATAGACTTGCTGCTGCTTTGGCACTCTTTGGTGGAGAACATGCAGAGATAACAAGATTCATGCGGATCTCAACATTACATCCTAACACGGATTGGAAGGATTCTGCAATCAATTTCCATGATTTCTCGGCTCTTGTTACATGTTGAGGTGTGTAGAATTCTAATTCAGCTATTGCCACACCTGATAGAATAAAAATATGAATCTACTTATCATAAAGCCTAAAACATTAAAGTCTCTTAGGATTATATATTTTACTTTGATCAACAAGAAAAATTATAAGATACCTTTGTCAATAATAAGTGAAGTCAACCTCCCTCGCCTCGACAAGAATCTCCTTAGTGAATCTGAACAACAAATATCTGTGACCGTTTTCCACACAGTTTCAACTGTTTCTTTACCGTTGTTCTCGTCACACTTTCTGGTTTCTGATTTAACGACAGCACCAGGACAATCCGATGATGTGCTGGAGAGGTCAACGTCTAGATAGATACAAGACCAAGGTCAGTTATATAGTTAGCAAAGAGGAAACACATAAAGAAATCATGAAACAATGAAAAAGCATGAAGGACCTTTGCTTCCTTGGCTTCTTAAACACAAATCATTTTCATTTGTTGCGATAGAAGATGAGTCAGTGTTGCTAAGTTGCAGAAGCGCCACAGTAAGCCAGGTTGTCTGGTTTTTCGAGGCTCTCAAGTGTTTCTCGGCATCCGATAGTATCTTCAGTGCATTACTCAATTTCTGCATTTCTTCTTCAGCTATATGATATTACAACATATGATCAGCGTTAGGTCAGGATCAAATTTGAAGCCCATATTAAAACCAATCAGTGGGGTGCTTACATGTATGCCTTGTAAGAAACCGAAGTCTCGTTGCTGAACTACTTTCTTGAGATTTTCCAGCAATGATGTCCATAATGACATTAGCTAGCTGGGAAATAAGCTGCATTGGATCTATTTTGGATCTCATAAGCTCCCTTGCTCTTATCACTGTGTTCGATGTATCAGAAGACAAGGCAAGATCAAGCAGATCAAGCAATTCATCATCAGAAACAACCCCAATCTGCAAAATAACAGAAATTTGTTTTGTCAGCTATCAAATATCTTTCCAAGACAATGAGTGATAAAAATTATGAAGAAAGATGCGTAAACTCACAAGTTTGTAGGCCAAAGATGTCGTTACTCTTTTACCGAGTAAACTTAGCTGATCAAGCATGATCTCAGCATCCCGAAGCGAACCATCAGATTTAGAAGCAATGAAATCAACTGCCCCCTGATCAAAATCAATACCTTCTTCCAAACAAATCTTGGCCAGCTTATTCGATATTTCTTCATCACATACTTTAGAGAAATGATATTTCTGGGACCGTGAGAGCACATTACATGGTAGCTTCTCAAGCTCCGATGTAACCAGTATAAAAACTGAATGCTGAGAGAAGTTGTCCAAACTGTTGAAGAGAGTACCCGAAGTTTCTTGAGATAGTAATGACACTCATCGATAATAAAAACCTTAAATCTAGATGAAACTGGAGGCAAAGATGCACTTTTTATGAGAGATCTGAGGTGGCTAGGARGGTTTAATTTAACCGAATCCATTTCTATCACGTCCCTGCTGCTTCCTAAGAAGTACGAATTGCATTCACTACACAAGCCACATGGTCTGCTATGTGCAGCCTGTGAAAGGCAGTTCAAAGCAGCAGCAAAAATCTTAGATGTCGATGTTTTACCAGTCCCACGAGGACCATGGAAAAGGTAAACAGAAGTAATCCTTCCTCTCAAGATGGTGCTCAAAAGACATTTCACTARGACTTCTTGTCCAACTAACTCATCGAACGATTTCGGTTTGWATTTCTGACATAGACTCCTCGACGACATTTTGGGACTTGGTGTCCCCACATCACTCTCACCATTTCCAGGTAGTAAAGGAAACTCTTCTACATCAGACGAATGATTTGATCCTCTGTACCTTGGTGTTCTTGACCAGCAATACGTTATTCCGCAACCACGGTTACATTGATCCACAAAATCTACATCTTCATCTCCGTAACTATGATTTGTTGAGGTCATCGGACTACCTAGACGGCTTCCAGATTCACCAACCGAGCTACCTACCTTTGTGGAATAATGAGTTCTTCCATAACGTCGCCCTGTAGCCGCATCCTCACCATGACTAATTGAAGGCACAATACATTCCAAATCCCTACCTTTAACCGATATATCACCACAAGATCTTTCACTACTCCTCGAACACGCGTCTCCTTCAACATTTAGCACCCTACTACTCAGCTTGTGAAGATCACAACCATTCTCTAGCTCCTCCATTATCGAGTATGACCCAAAAGGAATCAAACCCAGAGGACCATCATCAAGCTTACCCTCATCTTCAACATTGTTCACAAACTGCAGTGAGATCCCATTGTTGGAACCAGTTTCCCATTTGACATTGTCGAGTAAAGAAGCAAACTTGCTCATTGAATTGGTACATGGATCTCTAAGTGACCTAACCCTTCTTAGAGCCACAAGCGTTCTTGTGATGGGAACATCTACAGAATGTCTCCTAATCTCCCCCATCTTTCCAAAACAACCCTAAACTCAGATCCTCTCTGTAAAACTAGCGTTACTCTGCAACAAGTACCAAGGAGAAGCTAGCTAAACGATGAAGATGTGGTAAAGGGGAAAACTTTAACTCTCACAGTGCTCAAGAAACACATTAAACAGAGAACCAGAGAAGCTATGAGAGAAAAAAACAAAACTTGGAAGGATTTAATATGACATTTAAATAAGAAGACGACAAAATCGAAAACTACAAATGTCAAGACTCGAGAATACCGAGGGGTTTTGAGCTAAGTGGCGTACAATGCGGAGAATCCAAAACCCTAAAACCCCATT